TATAATTACTTGACTGCTAACCAGAAGGCTGGTGGTTCAAATCCACCAGCCACTCCTTGGAAGGAAGGTTGGGCAATCAACTTCCATAGTAATAGTGCCTAAGGCACTTGACAGCTAACCAGAAGGCTGGTGGTTCAAACCCAGCAGCCACTCCTTGGAAGGAAGGTTGGGCAATCTACTTCCATAGAGATACTGCCTCGGAAACCCAAGGAGGGTTTCTATGAGTGGGTCTGACTCGACGGCACATAACATCAACAACAACAGCTGGACTGGTTGAGACTAGAGGACTCCCTCAGACACGGGACCTGACACCCTCTTCAAACCTTGAACCAAAACTAACCCCTGAAGTTGCTCTGTAGCTGAATACCAGATTGGCTTGAAAACTGAGGAACATCACCCGTGAGTACTGGGCTCCTTTAAGAAATCATCTCTAGGACTTTAGGACAAAGAGTTTAGAACAAAGGGGAGAATGGAGGGGCAGGGAATCTGGTTGAGTGGAAACAAACCCCCAGAAGGGAGAGAAGGAGAAAGTTCGCCCGTCGTGAAGAACGTGACCGGCGTCCTTGAGCGTTGTGTGGAAACTCTTGAAGGAGAACCCCACCTGCTGGGTAAACCTTCACAGGAAACACAGTAAAGTCAATGAACAGCAGAACCAGCCTGGTCCAGCTGGGTGGCCAGAAGCCATCCATGCCCCTCCAGAGGACGTGGCTGTCAGCGTGAGAAGACGGCCGGGTGGGAAGGAGCGCTCCGACGTCTGGTTCTGAGGGAGGTGAGGTGCCTCATGTGTTGTGGAGTGTTCCTAATCTCACATGTTCCTAATCCCACATACTCAGACCCAGGTGCTGCGTTTGATTGAGCCCCTCTCTGTGACACGGGATGGCCGGGCAGATAGAGGCTGTGTAAGACACGTGCCATCCCTCATGGGACTGGACTCCCACACGCGCGCACACCGGCCACGCCCAGGGCTCGGCGCTCGTCCACTGTTGGTTTCCCAGAATCTGAGATGGGTGGTGTGGTGGTTATGTTGTGTGTCAGCTTGGCTGGGCCTGGCTGAGTGGCTGGGCAGCTGGTGGTAGTTATTCCCCAGGATGAGACTGGCAGTCAACTCCATGGTGGGATCTACCACAAGCAGCTGAGTAGCTGCCTTTGGGATGATGTGGTCTGCTTCCTGTATATAAGGAGAAGCCTTGGGAATGGTCTCTAGCCTATGGCACACTTGGACCCTGCATGTAGCCATGTCATTCTGCTGACCTTGGGACTTAAGTGGACTTGAATGAATGGCCTGCCGCGTGGTTTGGTAACATCGGGACTGTGCCTTTTGACTTGTCAACCTTGGGGCTTGTCAGCCTCAGCAGCCAGCAGCCGTCTGAGTGAAGAAACGCCTCTAGCTCCAGTGGGCCGGGGGCAGGAGACAGAGCTGGACCCCAAGGTTCACCCAGCTCCTAGAGCCTGGCAGTTTGAACTGGGACTTAAAGCCTCCAAATTGTAAGAATAAACTCCTGTTTGTTAAGGCCATCCCATTTGTGGTATGTTCCTGTCAGAGGGGCACTAGGGACCCAGAACGGGTGGCCGCTGTTTGCTTGGTTTCCGGGCCGTGGGTGCTTTCCGAGTGGCTCCTCCCTCCTTTCACGGTGTGTCTTTGGGTGCCCAGTACCTATCACCTCACGCAGAGCATTTTTCCTCCTCTTGTCTTGATCAGCCGGAAGCCCTGGCTGCGTTCACAGGCTACTCGCTGAGTGAGATCGGGCCCTGCCTGAGCGAGCTGCACAGAGCCTGCCTGGACATGCCCCGCCGCCCTCAGCAAGCGATCAGGGAGAAGTACAAGGCTTCCAAGTGAGTGCCAGCCTCCTCGCTCACCAATCAGGGCGGGAGCGGGTGATGGCGAAGCAGGATCCGAACCACAGACGTTGTCACCTGTGCCAGGCTGGAGTCAGAAAGTTAGACCAAAGGCCCTCCTCCTCGAGGGTCGATTCCGACTCACAGTGCCCCACACAACACAGCACAGTAGAGCTGCCCCAGAGAGACTCCAAGGCTGTCACCTTTATGGAAGCAGAAGCCTCACCTTCTTCCACAGAGTGGGTGGTGGGTTCAAACCTCTGACCTTTGGGTTTGCAGCTGAGTGCTTTAACCCCGGCGCCAGCAGAGCTCCTGGAAGTTACACCTGAAGTCAAGAAAATCAATGTGGAGAGGCCTAGGTTTAGCATCTGGCGGCTTGTAGTGCTTGTAGGCAAGGAGCCTTGGTGGCCAATGGTTAAGTGCTCATCTGCAAACCCAAAGGGCAGTGATTCAGACCCACCCGGAGGCTCTGGGGAAAAGCTCTGGTGATCTGCTTCCATAAGGAGAGCTGTCAAGGCCAAGGGTGGGAGTCCAGCAAACAGCTGTACTGCCATGGGGTCGCCAGGGGTCAGAACTGACGGCACTAAGGAACAGGTATCATGGAAGTACAGATATCAAAGAAAATGACCCAGGATGCCTGGCACTCTAGGAAAATGGGATTTAATACTAAAGGGTTCCACATGGCAAAGGGTTAAGTACTCAGACGGTCAGCAGTTGGAACCCACCAGCCACTCCATGGGAGAAACACCTGGCAGTCAGCTCCTGGAAAAATGACAGCCTTGGAGACCCTGTGGGGCAGTTCCACTCTGTCCTCTAGGGGCGCTGTGGGTCAGAATGGACTCCAGGGCAGTGGGTGTGGTTTGGGCTTTGCTTCTGTGAAGACTGACAGCCTTGGAGACCCTGTGGGCGGTTCCACTCTGTCCTCTAGTGGCGCTGTGGGTCTGAACTGACTGGGCACGCCCAGTAACAATGGCAGCTGTGCTTGGGGCCGGGTCCCACTGCTGGACGGGCTCTTGTGGCCTAGGTGAGGTTTTGCAGCCTGCAGGCCTTGGCTGCTGCACCTCTCTGTTCCCGTTGCAGGTACATGCAGGCGTCTCTCCTGGAGCCTCCTGCGGTCCTGCCCCTTCAGTGACCGCGCCCCTGGAGCCCTGGGGCGCTCAGCCACCACACCGTCAGGACTGGCCGTCCCGCCATAGATACTGCAGGGGGTGTCAGCAAGGGTTGCTGTGCTGTGGACGACAGAGATTTTAAATGTAAATTTATTTAAGGCTTCTTAGATCGGTTAGTTTGTAAAATAGTGTGATGTTTTAGCAATAATAAACATGTGATTTCCGACCGTGTGTTAAGCGTGTTTGCCGCATGGCGGCACTTCCCGGGATGGCAGTTGAGAGCATCTGCGATGTCGCGTGCACGCCAGGCGTTCTCGTGGTTGGTTGTACAGGTCCAGCATCCCCCTGGGGTGGTGTGTGCTGGGGGGTCACGGGTTTCCACGTTTCATCACCAGGTGCCCTGAGACTTTGTCCTCACTGTGTCTTTACTGTCCACGCCCCAAAACAAACCAGCGGCCGTCCCGTCACTTCCAACTCACGGACCCCTCCCGAGGGTTGGAGGAGACGGGCCCTGTGGGGTTCTCAGTGGCCGTCCGGTCGATTCCAGGTCCTGGCGCCTCCGTGTGGGTGGGAGGAGGACGGGGCTCCCCAGGCCCCCCACCTCCTGGGTTCTCGGGGTGACTTCTCAGTAGATAACCAGGCCTTCCTTCCAAGGTGCCTGGGGTGGACTCGGACACCAGGAGAGAAACACCGGAAATTAGAGTGACAGGTGCGTTTATTGTGGGCGGGTGTGATGGGAACTGGGCAGCGGCCCTGCAGGTATCGGAAAGGGCTCGAGGCGGGGACAGTGAAGGCAGGTCCCGTAGGCGTCGGGGCCATGTCCTGAGGGATGTTGTAGTTCTGCAAAGGTGCCCAAAGCCTAAGGCCAGCTGCTCTCAGCTAAACTGCCGGTGGGGCCATCGTTAGATCCGACGGCAACATTAGGAAAACAGTTCCTCGAAGGCTGAAGGTCCGAAGGACAGCCGGTTGTGCCCAGGCGGGGTGGGTCACCCTACCTCCCTGGAGCCAGGCGTCTGCATCCCAGGAGCATTAAACTGTTGGTCAGTTGCACGATTCACAAAGCAGACTCGGGGTCCCTCTGCGTGGAGTTCTCTGCTCTCATGTCACAGATGTCGGCAACTTGTCACATCCTGGCCCAACTTACTGCTTGGAGTGTTTCTGTTAAGAAATGGGCACCTAGTGTTTGGAAAGGTTGGCAGTTCAAACCCAGCCAGCCGCTCAGCAGAAAGAGGCCTGCCAATCCGCCCCCGTGAAGATGACAGCCCAGGGACCTTTGGGCAGCTCCTTGCTGTCGCGTCAGGTCACGGTGACTCAGAACTGGCTCCGTGGGACCCAGCACCAACAACCACAACGCTGCTGCTGACGGCACGTGCGGGGGGTCCCCGGCGACATGTCTGTAAACGATGAACCACACATAGGAGAGTCCGGGCTTTTTTTTCCTTCTTTTTGTACATCTTATCGTTAGTTATAAGGAGCTTAGTGGCACAGCAGTTTAGCACTCAGCTGCTGACTGAGAGAAGGGTAAGTGGTTTGAACTCACCAACCGCTCCATGGGAGAAACGCACAGTCTGAAAGGAAGACTGCCATCAGAACGAACTTAAAAGGAGTTGTTACAACAGAACCCTGTCTTAGGGCAACCTGAACATGTTTAACTCCACGTGGCAGTGGATGGGTGTGCTGCCGGCACACCACCAAAGTGCCTGGTTTGGGCCGAGACCTTGATGGTAGAAGGGCTGTGTTTGAGCCTTTCAGACCTTAAAAATTTGAGGGATGTGTGTTGTGCATGTGTGTGCATGTGCATGCATACATTGTGTGTATGCCTGCATGTGAGTGTATGTATGCATGTGTGCACACACGTGTGTACATGCACACGTGTGTTCTTGTGCACGTGTTTGCATGTGTGCGTGTGAAGCTTCTCTGCTTCTCCACCTGTCTGCGCTGGCTGACCACCTCACCAGGAAATGTGTGTCTCTGTCCAGCCGTGTTGGAGAGACACCAGCCAGCTATGTAGATTGGTCTTGTCCTGCTAGAAAGGGGTAGTCAACAGACCATTACCTCATGATTAAAAGATTAGACTATAGCAAGAAAATAAAGAAACCATACCCACTGCCATGGAGTCCATTCTGACCCACAGCGCCCCTAGAGGACAGAGTGGAACTGCCCCACAGGGTCTCCAAGGCTGTCAGTCTTCACAGAAGCAAAGCCCAAACCACACCCACTGCCATGGAGTCCATTCTGACCCACAGCGCCCCTAGAGGACAGACTGGAACTGTCCACAGGGTCTCCCAGGCTGTCAATCTTCATGGAAGCAAAGCCCAAACACACCCACTGCTGTGGAGTCGATTCTGACCCACAGCGCCCCTAGAGGACAGAGTGGAACTGCCCACAGGGTTTCCCAGGCTGTCAATCTTTATGGGAGCAAAGCCCAAACCACACCCAGTTCTCTGGGTTTGGGGAAAGAGCCAACTCTGCCACTCTGCACCTTTTCTACCATTGGTGGCCTCTGGGTGGCAGTAGAGCTTTGAGAAAAGTGTAGGAAAGCCAGCATTTAATCTGTGGTGGTGGTTAGAGGCTTGGCTGCTAACCTAAAGATCAGTGGTTTGAACTCACCCAGTGGATCCAGGCAAAAAAGACCTGGGATGTGCTCCTATAAATTGCAGCCTAGACAGCCTGGGGCCGTCCTTCTCTGTGATGTAGGGTCACTATGAATCAGCGTCACCTTGATGGCAGGGGTTTTTCTAATACCTGTCAATAACTATAAGGAGCCCTCGTGGCGTAGTGCCTTAAGGCATTTGACTGCTAACCAAAGCGTTAGCGGTTCAAACCCACCCACCACTCTGCAGAAGGAAGACTGGGCAATCTACTTCCATAAAGATTTACTGCCACGGAAACCTAAAGGGGGTCACTGAGTTAGAATCGACTTAATAGCAATGAGGTTTTTTTTTTGTTGTTGTTGTTTAGTTTTTTTGTGTCAGTAACCATATATGACCTTGTTTGATGTTTATCTGACTGGAATCTAAAACTAACCATATGAAGAATTCTGAAGATCCAAATATTCTTCGGTAACAATTCACTACAGCACAGAGCCCGTGGCACAGTGTTTAAACACTTGCCTGCTCACCCAAAGGTCAGCAATTCAAACCCAGCAGCCACTCTGTAGGACAAAGGCCTGCTGGTCTCCTTCCACAGAGACGACAGCCGAGGAAAGCCGTGGGGTTCTACGCCGTCACAGACCACTACGAGTCAGGACCATCTCGATGCACCCCTCACAGCACCACCACCACAGCGAGCAAACTGAGGGGCCCTGTTGGGGTCACCTCTGCCGACAGCTGAGAAGCCCTCAGAGGTCCCCCCTTGTCCTCCCTCCCGAGGTCTCAGCGTCCCAGAGCTGAGCATCTGGGAGCCCTCCGTGTGCTCGGCCGCCCTCCACGTCCAGGCAGGATGTCCACCTCGGAAGGACCTACAGAAACTGCCGAGAGACCAAGCCCAGGACACTGAGCCCTGGAGCCCTGGACTGTGGCCAAGATGGGGCAGTGACAGCCCCTGACCCCCAGGAAGACCCAGGCTTGGGCCTCAGGAGGTCAGCGGACGGGCCGGCCTCAGATGGAACCCTCAGCAAACCTTCTCGAGCAACAGGAAGGTGGTGGTGTTTCCATAAGGAGCGTGAGAACCATGGGCGCCCTGCTGGTGCCGTGCTCAGGAGCTTGGCCACTAACAGAAGGATTCACAGTTCAAGGCCACCCATCAGCCCCTCAGGAGAAAGGCTTTGCCATCTGCTCCCATGAAGGTCACGGCCTAGGAAACCCTCTGGGGCAGTTCTTATCTGTCACATGGTGTCACCATGAGTTGTAGTCCACTTGATGGCAGCCATACGTTTAAAATCTATGTTCTTTTTAAAATTTGGGGGCTAGAATGATTAACCGTAAGGTTGGAGGTTGGGGTCCGCCCGGAGACACCTTGGAAGCGTGGCCTGGCCGTCTCCTTGTGAATAATCAGCCTTGAAGACTCGCTGGAGCTCAGCTCTGCCCTGGCACAGGGGCCATGTGTCGGGACCAGCTCCATGCCCCTGGCTGGGTTGCTATGTTACTGACGTTTCTCCAACCAGGCTGCTTTGTCCTTGGCTATGTAGATGCTGGACCACAGAGAAACCCTTAAGAAAGGTAACATTGAAGGATTGTAGGTAAGCCACCAGCAGGAGGTGTTGCGAAAGGCATTGCTTTTGCCGTGGTGGTGCAACAACTATGTGTTTGGCTGCTAACCGAAAGGTCAGTGGTTCAAACCCCCCAGCAGCTCCATGGAGTAAGACCTGGTGATCTGCTCCCATAAAGCATACAGCCCTGGAGACCCTGTGGTGCAGTTCCACTTTGTCCTCTAGGGGCGCTGTGGGTCAGAATGGACTCCA